AGCTTTAGTATTCATGCATGAGGTCTCAGACCTGGGTAGCCCCATAAGATCTGAGCACCTGTCTAGAGACAAAGGGTTTCTTTTATACACAACCATCTTACGTTGATAACATCAGTTAGCAAGCACATACATTTGCTGTAAAACTCCTAGACAAAGGCGAAAGATGCAGATATCTGGGGATGGCCGTTGAGAGATAAATCAGCTTGACCGGATATCCGACCTTGTTAAAATGTAACCTCGTTTAGATAAGCTAAAACTTAGATGGAAAGCTCTCTAAGGAAAGATTAAGTAAGCAAACTTGTTATTTACAATTGTACTGGATTATTTACTGCACCAGGCCTACAACCCTTTAGCAGGGAGCTGGAAAGATTTATTTACAGCAGTTCCCTTTCAGCACCAGTGCTGGGTAGAGCAATGCACAGGATGTCATGAGCAAAGCTGAGGGTGGTGATTGCAATCCCAGCACTTAATACATTTACAGTTTAGATGGGCCCATGCAATACCCATGGCAACCAACAGCTCTAATCATTAACACAGGGCAGGCCCCAGAGCTCAGACAGGGGACACTTCTCACAGTCTGTGGTTGTCAGGTTGTCCCTGAGGAGGTAAAACTTGAGAAAGCAGGAGAGGGAATGTCATGCATGGTCCATTTAAGTGAGATGAGTTTGGGTTGGGGGGATAGAGAATGTGCACTTCCCTTCAGCATCTCCAAAGATCATTTCCTTGGGCCAAGTCAGTGAGGCAGTCCACTGGATTTAGGAACTCAGTTGAGGACTGCCTGAAAGTATCAGCACCACCGCACAAAGAGAGAAGAGTCACTGTGTCATAGCTGTGCTCTTGTTCTACAGCAACAGGGAGTAGTGGGGTCCTTTCTGGTCTAAGGAAGGCTTCTGGTCCTTTGAAGCATCAGTCCTTCTATATAAGTGACAGTGTTTCTCCCATTTAGAGGATACAAATAGTGTAAATGCTCCAAACACCTTTTCAGCCTTTCTGTGCCAGGCACTGTACCTGCATAAACACATCCTGGCAGCCCTCAGATTACATGAACGCCCTGGATAAGTTAGCAGAAGGAATGGCAGTTCAAGCCAGGCCTCTCCTCCGTTCTACATTGCTACCTCCCAGTAGTGCTCCCAAAACCTGCTGTTGGGGGCAGTTCAGATCAGGTAAATGTCCATATGCCCTTGGCACAGGTTTTGTCTCTTCCTCCTGGAATGATGATCTTCTGAGGCACACCTGAGAAGTCATTTCCAAAATGTACTTTTACAAAACAAATATAGAGCCTCCTCCCAGGGGAAGAAAGTCCCTCACTTTTAGTTGGGACCCCAGAACTTTTGGCAAACAAGAGGGAAATCCAGTTCTCCCCGTGGGGGCTGGGCCCCTGGAAATGTCAGATCCCATTCATGGGACTCCAAAGGGTAGAAAGGACCCTTTAACCCAGCTCTGAAGTTTGTAGTTAGTAAATTGTACTTTGGTTCAACCTATGAGAATTGGATTGAAATCCCTGCAATTTATTTCTTTTCCTTTTTTCTGATACCAGAATTGTCAGGCCTAGTCTCCCAGCCAGGAACAGATCCCAGGCTGCAGGGCAGCGCTGAGCCCCAGCCACTAGACCCCCAGGGTTGGGGTCTCACGAAGCCGCAGCAGGGACTTCGCAGATGCTCAGGCAAGCAAGCGAGAAGAGGCAGGTTTGTTTAGAGAAAGAAAAAGTTTATTGAGGAGAAAAAGAGCAGAAATAAAGTGGGACTCCCAGGCCAGGGAACCAGGCCTGGGAGGGGCAAGGAAGCCAAAGTGGAGTCGTGTCTCAGGGACTATATACCTTTTTTCCCTCATTATTCTAAAGCTCCACCAGTCTCTTTGTGATTGGTTAGTTTTTGTCTGTCTCACTTAATTTGCTACTGAGTGGGGGATCTTCACATTCCTTATCTAACAGCTTTCTCTTTCCCCATTTGTTGCATCTTTATCTTTATGGCCCAGTCCTCTGGATGGACATCCCTGCATTGAAGTTAAACAGCTGCCCTTCTAAGTTGTCCATAAATTAAACCACTCTCTATTTCTCCAATCTCTGCCTCCCTTTACCACCTGAAGGAAACCAGGACCAGCGTTAACAATGTTGTCCTTGATCCTGAGATGTTTGTTTTTCCCAGTGGAATTGGTTACATTCCCTTGGTTGTCCTTATCTCTGAAGCCTCCCTAAATTCTTCAGAGGTCCCCTCCTGCACTGTCCCTAAAACTGCCTAATTTCTAGCTTGCCCTGTGTCTCACTTCCTTTCTTTATATATTTTTACACTGTTGTTCATTTTTGTACAGTGTTTGATGTCTCCTCTCAGGTTGTCCCCATAAAATTCCCACCACTAAGACACCTGTGAACCATCGTCATAGACTCTTGTGCTCTTTTGTCCTGTTTTGATCCTTCCCCCGCCTTCCCTGATGAATGTCTGCAATTTATAGTTTGACTTCTATTTTTGTTTTTTTTTCCCCCACCCCTTGCAGTTTCTCTAATTTCCTCCTGTAAGTGAAAACATCCAATATTTTTCTTTTTCCTTCTGACTTATTTCACTGAGCATAATCCCTTCCAGCTCCATCTATGCAAATAGCATAAGTTTATCTTTTTTGATTGCTGAGTAGTATTCCATTATACATACACACATTCTCCCCCCCCACACACACACATATTCTTGATCCAGTCATCTGTTTTTTGGCATTTAGATTGTTTCCATATTTTAGATATTGTAAATAGTGCTGCAATGAACATAGGAGTGCAAGTGTCTTTTTGAATTAATGTTTTTGTGTCCTTTGGGTAGACTCCTAGTAGTGGAATTGCTGGGTCATAGGGTAAAAATCCCTGGAATTTAAATAGAATTTTTGTGTGCATTTTTTTGAAAACTTCAATCAATTTTTTTTATTAAAGATCCAATTTTTTTTTAATAATAAATTTTATTTTTACATTCCCCATACAATTGCTACCCCCCAATTCTGACCCCAATCCCTCCCCTCAATCAAAATTTTTAAGGGTATTGTGGGGAAAAACAGAGTGTAGTCTGAAGGCATGGTGAAGGAACTCACCAGAGACAGTGAAGAACAGAACAGGAGACTTGAGGCTCCCTTATATTCTTTCAGTGGGTGCCATTTTGCTTCAAAGGTGTTGACCTTTGACACAAAATGTGTTCTAACTCTATCCTGGAGCTCTGCCAGATTGGGTCAAGGTGATGGGTCTTAGAGCCTGATTCCCATAGCAACCTTATCCATTCCCTTTATCTAGTCAAGCCTTGAAAACATGCCTGCTGGGCAAGGATGGGGGCCTATTTTTTAACCCTGGTAATGATATTCCAAGAAAGGAGTCTGACCTTGCTGAATCAGTGCTTACTAATGCATGCATTTACTAAAGCAGCAGCACGGCAGTAACAATTCTGCACAACTCTTGTCAGCTGCCAGTTTTAGACAAAATTAAGGCTGGCACAAAAGCTAAGCAGCACAGGGAAAGCCTAAACACAGACCTGGCAAATAATTACTCATGAATACCCATCAGCTGTGAATAAATCACAGCCCAATGTTACCAACCATAGAGGCTAGGTAGGAAGGGAAGGGTACCATACCTAGTATAAAAATCTGCACATAGCAAAGGCTGTACGTACACACTATATGACTAATCATGTTTTCTTTAAACTAAAACTCTTGCTTTAAACTGAGATTCCTGCTCTTATGATGCTCAAAAGAGTGCCAGGCATTGATGCCATCAGATGTACCAGCATCAAGATAACCACAAGGATGATGACAAGTTCTGGGGGCTGAAGGCAAAGAATTCTGAACCGTCAACTGTGATGGGCTGTTCCGAGGGCTATTTGCTTATGGCCCTCTGTATCTAACCCATTATAAAAGGGCCAGTTCAAAATGAGATGGGGGAAGGGTTTCTTCAAGGTACGATGCCCACCATTCTCTGTCACCGATGGCCAGTGATCTGAAAAATACAAGCACTTGTAGATTCAACTCTTGTCTCTGCTTACTGGCTTTTGGTGGTGACAGGCAGCAGAACCCAGGTCTATTCCAGTAAAGTTAAAGAATTATTCTTAAATATGTAAAATGGGATAATGCTTTTTATAAGTCCTTCCTTAGTCTCTGCAATGGCGAAGAGGGGTCATTGACAATCCTTGAAGCTGAACTGAGCGCCGTGGGTTTATCTGCTAGTGTACTTTAGATTTTTAAAAATTCCATTAACAACAAAATTTTAAAAATTAAAATAAACCTACTCTTCCTAACAAGATGCAGGAGTGTTACTTCTCCCAGGAGGGGATGCCTACCAGACTCCCTTGAGGCCCACGGAGGAGAGCATGTGCTTGTCCCCACCCTCCAACCCTGACCCATCTGGCTAGGTGCAAGCTTGGGAGTTGGGTGCTGGGTGCAGGACAGAAACAGGTAAGGTGTGGATCCCCCCCTTAAAGGGCTCACCACCTGGCATTCTTCTCCCAGCCTGCCTGTCCCCAGCCCTGCATCTTCAGTCCCTTAACCTTACAGATCTCAGTTTTGCTCTCCATCAAATGGTCGGATCATTCAGGGGGTGGATGTGCGTGAACAGAGAAGGAGGTGGGAGCGCCTCTGGACTGGTACAGCTGAGGATGAGCCTGGCATTTGCATAAGCTTGCTCGGGAGCGCGGGGGTGGATGAAGAGGCTCACGATAAGAACACACACACACTCACACACACACACACACACACACTCACGCGCACGCACGCACACACACGTCTTCCTCTTTTCCTTCCTCTTCCTCTCACCCCGCCCCCCAAGGGGCGGTACCCTGGGCCCTGGGGGGAGGTTTTCGGGCCGAAGACCCCCGAGAGGACGGCGCCCGGGAGGGCGGCCTGCCGGGGGCGGAGGGCTGTGGTCTGGGCCGCTGCAGCGGGTGGTTGGTGCCGCGGCGGCCCCTCCCCGCTGTCCCCTCTCCCGGCTCCCGATCTCCCCCCTCCCCCCAAGCCCCATCCTCCTCCCGGTCCCCGGCCGGCGCGGGCTGGAGGAGCAGCCGGCGGCGCAGAGGCAGCGCAGCCTTTGTCTCGGGCCGCCGGGCGGCGGGGCCCAAAGCTGGCGTAAGTGACCGCGCTCGGGCCGCTGGGGGCTCGGCCGAGCGGGGGCCAGGGCTGGGGGCGCGCCCGGCCGGGGCTGCGGGGCTGCGGGGTCCCCTTGGAGGTGCGCGCCGGGCGTGCGGCGACGCTGGGGCGCGGGCGCCAAAGGGACCGCCGCGGAGAGGGGCGCGGGGCGCCGAGAGCGGTCCAGGTGGAAAGAAAGGGGTGCGGGGTGGAGGGGCGCGGGGCCCGCCGCGAGGCGAGGCTCGAGGAAGGGGTGCCGGTTCGCCGGGCGCCGCAGCCTGGGGTGCAAATCCTGTCGGCTGTGTTTCTCCGGGCAGAGGCCACGCGGGCGCCGAGGAGGCAGAGGACGGGCAGTGATGGAGGAACTGGAGAGGAGCCGGCCAGCGCCACCACCATCATCAGCATCACCACCATCACCATCACTGACCGTCGCCCTTGCCAGCCCCCACCCCCCAGCCTCCCCGCCCCTCTCATTTCCCTGTGTGATGACAACTTTATCAGGTTATTTCCTTTTCGTGAGTGACTGTGAAAAAGCGACGGAGTGCTCCAAATTAGAAATAAGTACATCCGCTGGGGCACACTCAGTCAGCTTTCCGTTGCCAATTAGCTACTTCAGTTTTTCCTTCTGGAAAGCGGCACAATGAGGCTTCAAACCTCGTAGGCTGAGGTGGCTGGGATGTTTTCATCCCACGGGAAAAGATTTATATACTTAAATTTTTTTTCTTTCTCTGGTAAGAATGATAGTGATGGTAAGGTTTACCTTAGTTAGGAATTAGAAATTAATCAGGAATTAAAAAAAAAATCTCTCCTTTGATTTTGGAGTGTCAAAAATACCAATAGCCATAACATAAGGCAACTGAAACTTTGACTGAAGCCAATACCAAGAATTGTAAAACAGTTGCATTTGTGGAAAATTCACCCCAGAGGACTGAAGGCATTGACTTTCATCTCAAGTGACTTTTCAGTGGTTATGGGCTGTGGTTCTCATAATTTTGGATGCATATAGTGTCTTCTGTGTGTTTGGAACCCTAGTGAAATCATGTTTTAATTGATGTTTTTCAAAGCTTGTATTTAACTGGTCCGAGGAAGGACCGGGAGCAGGAAGGACTTTTTACGAAGCTCCACATTTGTGAGCCCAGAGTTCTTCAAAATAACTTATAGAGAACAAGTTCCTAAACCCTCTACATCTTTGTCTAGTGGCTAGAAAATGAATCTTGAAGTTCTAGACATTCTAGTCTAAGACAGACAGTTCTGAATTTCTTGATTCTTGGAATTTTTTTTTTTTCCCCAGAAGCTGGCATAACAGAGGCCATTTTTAAAAAAAAAAAAAAGATTTATTTATTTATGCATACAAGAACTGGGGTACAGGCCAGAGGTGTCGAGGTGAGAGGATTCACCAGAGACACAGTGGGGAGCAAAACAGGCAAACTAACTGAAATACACTGCTGAGGGGAACAGTGGGTGAGAGAGGAAAGGTCTGCCATAGCTGCCTGGCCAGGGATCGAACTCATGCTGCAGTGCTGCAGATTGCTTCATAGGTTGCGTCTTAACCCCTTGTGCCACCAGGGAGGCCCAACAGAGATCATTTTTTAATGAGGCTGTGAAGGAGTCTCCCGGTCCCTCATGGCATGGTTACCATTCTAGAAGGAAAGTAATAATATTAATAATGTGTATCCCACAGAATAGCAGTTATCATTTCTGTGGCTTAAATACCTCAAACTTTGAAATATAGTTATATCTTTAACTCAGACCCCTCTGATTTGTGAATTTCTTTTTAAATAGTGTATGTGATTCTGTGGAGAATGAATTTGAAATAACTTCTTTCTCTGAAAATATATCAGGGTCTCAATTTTAAGTAAGGCGTGGTCCTTCTAAAACAACCACATTTTTAGAATAAAGACTTACAAGAATTACTTCACCATGAAGTGTGCAAGAGTGAATTGTTACCTATGTAAACTCCTTAGAACCTCCACCAGAATGAGATAATTTCTGTCACTTTGGAGTCTACCCTTGTGTACTTTATCAGACATAACCACTACTCTGACAGCTCTCATCACTGAACAATAATTTTTAAAAAACATTTTAAATAATTTAAAAAGAATTTCTTTTAAAAATTTCCCGACTGTCCTATTCCTTAAGCAAATATGATCTAGTCCAGGTCCTGGGCTCAGCTATGTAGACATAAATATTCCCCCGGAGAGGCAAGTGAAGCAAATAACTAAACAAGTGAGAAACATTTACTATGTGTGCAGATATAGAGGGTGATAGAGACCTTTTGGGGGTGTTCATTTTTTGAGGGGAAAAGGGAAGGCTTCTTGCAGGATGTAAATTTTTGAGTTGGAAACTGGAAAATGAGTGGAAGGTGATCAGCTAAACATACAACAGAAGGAAAAGGAGAGGATTCCAGGTGGAAGGCACATTATGGGCCATGGCTCAGAAATAAGAAAGCATGGGTGGGTTCAAAGAACAAAAAATAAGTCATGGATGTTTAGAGTATAGGGCTGGGGGAAATGAGTGTAAAGTTGCTGGAGAGGTAGGAACCTTATCGGAGGGCCCGAGGCCATGGTGAGGGGTGGGGCTTTGTTCTAGGGACAAGAAAAATTCCCCAGCAGATGTTAATGGTGTGCTTAGCAGGATAGGCTCTGACTGCCCAGTTGACTGCTTTGTGGTGTGGAAATGATAGGAAAGACTGCCCTGGACATCTCTACGAAGTGGCAGTGGCAATGGGGGAAACAGGCAGACTTGACCGAGATTTAGAAGGTAAAATCAATATAACTTGGTATTTGACCTGGGAGGGTTCCAGAATGACTTTAGATTTCTTAGGTCTTACAAAATGGTTGGGTGATGATACTATGGAAATATGGAGAAGGAATCTCATTTATATAATGTCCTTTGATATATTTCTTTATGAATACAATACATTTAATTTCAGTTGCTAGTTAACTTGTGGAACACTTAGACAGTAATGTGATCTTGGGAGATGTAGCAGTTATTTACTGAGTACATATAATGTTCCAGGCATGGGGAGCAACCATGAGCAGGAACATGACCTGTGCCCTTGTGAAATTTTGGGGTCCACAAGATATAAGTGGTGATGTCAGTCATTCTATGCTTTAGAGGAATGAAGTTGCTCAGCAAGATTCAGTGGAAGAGCAGAAGCCAAGGATGAAATCCCAAGGAACACTAATACTAAAAAGAAGAGGCAAGAATGCAGGGGTAGCAGGAGAGGTGTGATGCTGAGAGGTCTAGGGAAGTTTTTTTTTTTTTTAAAAGATTTATTTATTTATTTATTTATGCATACAAGAACTGGGGTGTAAGCCAGAGGTGCAGGGGGTGGGGAGGATTCACCAGAGACAGTGGGTAACAAAACAGGCAGATCTACTGAAATACACTGCTAAGGGGAGCAGTGGGCGAGACAGGAGAGGTCTGCAGTGCCATGTGGGTTAGTTCCCTGGCTGGCTGGGGATCGAACTCATGCTGTAGTGGCTGGCAGTAGCTTTACAGTGCTGTCTTTAACCCCTGTGCCACCAGGGAGATTCCTAGGGAAGATTTTTTTATCTACTCCAAAACATATCTTTTTATGGGGTCTCAATATGCTAGGCCACCTGTGTCATTAATAATTGGTTCACTGTCCTCAACTCTGAAAATGAGGAGTTAAAATACCAAAACAGTGCATCCATGAAGTGAATCTCAAATCTGAATGGTAATCTGAAAAATCACCTAGATGGTTAAATTGGCTTTCCATCAAGTTCCAAGACTATCATACATCTATTATTAATTATTTGAATTCGTTACTCACATTAAGTAATTGGAAATACGCCCTTTTCATCTAAAGTGATCCAACAACAGAACCATAATTATTGTACTTCTGATGTACTTATGAAAGAGAGGACTCTTATTAACTAGGTCTTTTCCTGATTCTTTTGTTGTCAGACTCCCAAGTATTTTATTTCCTTTGGCAGGAAGAATTAGAGCATATTACTATATTTTGCTATCATCAGAGAAAAATCTATTGAGAAAGAAACTGATGTGCTTATTACTCTTGCTGCCATCCCTGTACAAAATGAAAACTCCCTATAAGAATGAGCGCTATTAAGTAGTTTCAGTGCTTTGTGAAGTGATAAGCACAAAGTAGGTCCTCAAATGTTGAATGGATGGGAGGATGGGAGGGTTGGTGGGTAGGTGGATGGATGGATGGATGGATGGAGAGTGGCAGTTGAGTGGATGGATGGGTAGATGGAGAGATGGATGTGGATACATGTATGGAAGGGCAGATAAAATAATGGATGAGTGGATGGATGGACTAGTGGGGTTGTGGACAAATGGATGAGATGCATACATACACCAGTGGATAAGTAGGCAGAAGACTGGATAGATAATGAGATGACTGGAGAGTGTTCTGCCCAGCGAGGGAAAGCAGTTTTAAAAAATAATAATAGTTCCCCCTGAGGAGGGTGAGTGAAATGAAGACAGATGTTTTAGTGATGGCTACCTCTTTATTTCTTGTGATCTTGCACAAGTCCTCAACAGCTCTCAGCCCCTCTGTGAAAGGATCTTATCAGCCAACCTGCCTTCTGCCAGGTTTGTGGTCCAGACAAGATTGTGCTATGATCATGAATGTGCTGATGAAGCTGTAAAGCATGTTTGGAATGTAAGTAATTCTAATTATAGGTGACTGTTAATGGATTGAAGTGTGTGCTTGCACTTGCATATGTTGGTAGCGCACTTGTGTTCTGCTTTGGGGACATCCACGTCATTTTTGGCCAGCCAGCTCACGTGAAGTTTTGGCAGGCTCTTTCCTGGGGAAGACTGCTCCTTTAGCTAGAATAAGCAGTTCAGTGATGTCTGGCTAATGTTTCCCCACATAATGTGCGGTGTAGAAGCACATGTTATGAGGACATCAAACCTGTGATTTATTGACTAAAGCAAGGTGAAAACATATACAAATGCAGTTTACTTAAATTTGACGTCATTTACTAGATAAATTATAACCCAGGTTAGAGTTGGCTATCTACGGAAAAATTGTGAAAGTGGCTGGTGCTCAAGTGACTAATTTTTGGGCAACTGTAACTTAATGTACCTGAGAGAGGTGCATAAAAGTAATCTGAAGTTATTGACTTTTAAGAATATATCATGAGCTGTTTTTCTTTCCAAGTCCAGGACAATACAATAGTACACTGAGAGCTATTTCTCTTTCCGCTGTGGGTGGTAATGATCCTTTAAGATTGCCCAGCTTATCTCTTCATTGTTTACAAAGTGCTTTCACAAACATCTTCTGTGCACACAGATTCTGTTTAATAGGTGTTTCCATTGTCACTTCTATCAATAGGGAGGGAGAAATGGAGGAGAAGTGTCCCCTATTGAGACCACAGAGCTAAGATTCTAACTCCAGTTCTCATTTCACCTGCATGCCCTGTGATGGCGCTCCCAGCAGAGCATGTGCTATAGCTCAGATGTGTCTCTGTTCATGCTGTCTACATGTTGATTCTTAAGAAGAATCATCAAATGGGTAGGCATAGGAACAGAACTGGCCAGTCCCCAGCAAGTGGCCCATAATGAACCCAACATCCAGAGGAAGGAGGGCTCCCTACTTGTGCTGGCACCCTAAATATGGAGCCTCCTGCTCAAGCTCAAGCTGAGTGCTCAAGCAGGCATGAGCTCTGGCTGTGCTAGCACACCTCTAAGTCTCCAGCCACATGAGTGGGGTATATATACCCTTGCATCGGGAGCATCTAAAATATAAAGGCAGGTCCTCCCTCGTGGAGCAAGAGCTTAAGACGCAATCTCTGAAGCTTGCCTCAGCCGCTGCAGCACGAGTTTGATCCCTGGCCAGGGAGCTACCCACATGGCACAGCAGACCTCTCCTGATTCGCCCGCTGCTCCCCTCAGCAGTGTATTGCAGTTGATCTGTCTCTGGTGAATCCTCTCACCCCCCACAGCTCTGGCCTGTACCCCTGTTCTTGTATAAATAAATAAATCTTTAAAAAAATATATAAAGGCAGTGGACATTACTGAACACTTCTCAGGGAGAAAGTTATTAGTCCCTATAAAACTGGGTCCTTGAGCCAATTTGCAAGAAGAAAATAGATGTGTTCATTTAGAACTCAGTCATAAATATTACAGGCATTTATAGAATGTGTATTATGTGCAAGAAACCACAGAAATTAAGGAAGTATTTTTCCAGTAATTTTTAGTATATGTGCTGCCGAAGCGAGCACTCCAGTAATTTTTGTATGTCCCTTGAACCTTTTACCAAAAAAGAACTAATGGAAATTATATAATAAAGAAAAAGAATTTGTGGAATTGTAGAAATACTGATAGAACATCCTTTGGACTTTCATGTTAATTATTAGCCCCAGACACTTGGCTCTGCTTCTGAATTGCTTAGCAGCTCTGGAGACTGATGAGAATGTCTCTTTATGTCACAGAAATCTTTATGAAACATAGCACTTGGAATTTTGCGTGCATGATGACAGATTGTTGTGTATTTTCTGAGACAGAAGGCTTTGGGTTTGCTAATCAAAGCAGGTCACAGCACTTTCTCCAATCAGGGTGAAGCATCAAGGAAAGTGCACAGAACTTGGAAGCAAGCACCCTGCATTCTGGGAAAATCATGTTCTTGAGAGGAAAGCGAGTGAGCAGATTTTGGAGTCATGCAGATCTGCATTTGATGCCTGAAGCGGCCATTTAACATGCTGGTGACTGAGTGAGTCATTTTCCTTTCTGTGCCTCAGTCTCCTTGTCTGTAAAATGGAAATCATAATAGACACGTGTAAGTGAAGCAGCTATCACTTAAATAGAAGACTTCCCAGGCACCCACCATGCTAATCACTTCTATTGTGTTATTTCATTTAATCCTTACAACACCCTAGAGGGAGGCATCTTTAAGGCCCCATTTTGCAGATAAAGGAGCTAAATTGGTATCGCACTCTCAAGTGAGTGGCGTAGAGTAGACCTTCAGGAAATATATCATACATTAGCCTTTTCTGTTCTATCAAGTGTCTGTGTGCTTAGCCTCACTGGGTTTCAGTTTCCTTGTGCGTCAGTGAAGACAACAGCAACCATCCTGCCATTGGGCATAGACGTCTGGGGATGCTCAAAAAAAATCTCTGGCAGGAAAGCACTGTGATGGGGAGCACTCCAGAGACATGTATGGCTGCAGTGTGTCCAGGCGGTAGAATCGTTGATTGTACTCACCTCTGTGTGCACCTACAGCCCCTCTGCACCTAACAAGAAGGCAGAGGTCCCACAAAGAGGGGTCTTTGCATATTTATATCCCTGGTCTCAGCTGCTGGCTTGACATCCTCCTAATCTCATTTTGGAATCTGACTTTGAGTGACTCTGTTAAACAAGATATTTGAGACTTGGTTGCATTGCAAAGCTGAAGTGGGGGCGGGTGGATGGAGAGTGGGGAGACTTGAAATCAAAGCAAGAAAGAACATAAAGTACATTAACTTCGTGGAGAAATGTCTTCTCGGTGTAGTGGCATCTTATCTCTCTTTGGATGCAATGGCATGAATCTTCTACTTCCTTAGGAATGTGTCCAGCTGCATTGCTGCCAAGTGATACCCGTGACTGCCACTGACTGGCTTTACTCTTTCCAGAGTGGCTCATTTCCTGTCCTATGGGCAGAATAGGATTTTTCATGTACATCGTGTTCCGTGGGACTTAGTTCTAGCCATGGCAGGGTGCATGTTTTGTTGGGTGATTACTGGGCAGAGCAGAAAGGATGAAGGCCCCTTCCTCCTGTCCCTCTATGTGGCTTTCTGCTATTGAGGAGCAAATGGCAGACTCATCAGGAATTCCTGGAGAGATGAGCTTATACTCTTGCCTCTGTTAGCCTCGATCTCTCCTTTTCTTCAGGGAAAGAGGAGAAAAGTGGAGGAAGGCCATGTGATTGACCATGGCTGTGATTGTGTTTATGTTTAGCACGTGACAGGAATGGGGGTGATGAATGTTTGTGTTGATCTGCACCTGGGCTTCCTGTTGGGAGTTAGAGTCTGTTTCCTGGTTGTGCCATGAGGATGCTTAGCTTGTGTCCTGTGCCTTCATTCCAAAAAGCACCAACCCTGCCTGAGTTTCTTATATGTAGTGTAGGACTAAGAAATGTTGACATTCTTATGGGAAAGTTTATTATTTATGTGATATTTTCAATGTAATAACAAGTAAAAACAAACAGAAAATAAACAACTAAGCTCACCAATAATAAGTTAGATCTTGCTGTTTCTGCTCTGCTATGTCAAAGAAACAGTGAATACATACAAAGAATGATTCAAATGTTCATTGCTGAGTACGGTTGACATTTAATGACCATGACTTTTAGAGTCTAGGCAATAAAAGGACAGACAACAGCTTAAACCACAGAAACATTATTTTCTACCTTGACAGGTTTTGTTAATAAAGTCTGCTTGCCATGTGGAAAACTTTCTAGAACATTCTGCCTTATGATATCCCAGAGAAGAAAATCTGAACAGGAGAGAGGAATCTAGATTTTAGTTCTCACTGCACTTCCATCTGAGGGTCAACATTTGCAGGTCATGTAACCCCTCTGAGTTTCAGTTCCTCTTTGTAAAGAGGGGTGTAGGATATACAATTGCCAGATTTCCTCCCAACTCTGCTACATTGTGACCCTATGGTTCTTTTCCTTTTCTTCGTATGCTTTTTTTCAGTCTCTTACATTCTGAACTCAACATCCATTAACTATATGCTGTTACCATAATTACCCAATCACTGAACACCACATGATGGAGAATAAAGTCACGACTATTTATGTTAAACTCTTTCATTATTTTGGAAGGAGGGCGGAGAGAACTCTATGCATGAAGCTCTAATTACAGTAATATAGTACATTAGATTATAGCTCTCTTTTGCCCTATTTTATTGATGATCATAGCCCAGGAAATCCAAGCCAAGATTTTTTATTTCCATGTTCACGTTGCCCATATTCTACACATCCAATAAGAAACCAGTTCCCACAAATGGGAGGCTAGGGAATTTCTATGTCCACCTTGTTCACATGGGACTCAACTCCTAGCAGTGGCAGGATTAATGTTTTGTTGAGTGGTTACTGGACAGAGTAGGAAGAAGACCCTTACCCTAGTCCTATGGTAGGTCTGTAAACCTCAATCTAGGGAGACTCAGGGGAAGGGAAAACAGTCAGGGCCTGTACCCAGCATTCATCAGTGAGACACACTGTGGCGCTGGCCTGGGTACCAGTCCTCTGCGACTTTGACCCAAGGTCCACTGGGATTGTGCCTTTAAACTGTGGAATGTGCAACTAGGACTCTCCACCCTGTCCAAGAGTGAAGGCATCTTTCTAGAGTAGCCATTTTTCTTGAATATTTTGCAGAAGAACATTGGTCAGATATTAAGACAAACTGAACTTTATCATGGGGTAGAATGCAAACATTGCATAAATATTAAAGTAAAATATAATGCTTAAAAATTTCAAGCAAGTTGAAGCTAATTTGGGGTATTCTCTCAGATCCTCACTAATATTCTTCTGTTGAGGGCAGTAGAAAATTTTGAAAATGTCTGTTGCTAGCATTTATTGAGTGCCATGAACAGTTTTAAGCATTTTGTGGGATGATCAATAGGCACTATAATTATTCCCATTTTGCAGGTGGGAATCCAAGGTACAAGAAAGTTAACTAAGTTGTTTAACATTTACACAAGGAATAGGCAGGAGAACTAAGATTTGAAGCAAGTAAGTGCTACTATGGTGCTACTAGAGAAAGCACTCAAAACCACAAAGGGTGAACTCTGCCTATGACATACATCACAGGAAGAGCTATTAATAGGTGGAGGGGGCTGCTTTAGATCTCCAAATGGACTTCAGAACAAGCAAAATGGATGTATCTCATTTGTTTCCCTTCGTGCACCTTCAGAGAAGCCCAGAAACAGCAGAAACTCCTGAAACTGACACACCTTCTAGAAGTAAGCAGATGCTACACCTCCATGCCATGTTGAAGCTGTTGAAGCCAGCTTCAGTCTCCACACCCACTGATTGGCCTGCTCTCCTTCCTGGACCACTGAGTCAAGTAGACCTGATCTTCTACAAGAGGCGAGACCCTGCAAGCAGTGTAGATTCTGTCTTGTAACTGTGAATGGATTGAAAATATGTGAGATATGTGAGCAAAAGGCTATGGCTGTTGATGGGGACAAGGTATGGTTCTCATTTGGGTGATTAAGGAAGGTTTCCTCGAGAGATAAATTTGGCCATAATTTATAGGACAGAAGAGACTGGGAAAAAGGGAAGACTCAATTTAGAGACTAATCAGGAAGCAATTTAAATAATTCAAAGAAGAAATAAATAAGTCTCTGAACAGGGTAAAGGCATAGAGAATGGAGGAGGAGGGAAGATTAATGAAAATGAAGATAAAGAAATAGAAATTACCTGATCTGAAAAACAAAGAAAATTAGCTGAAAAAAAAGAAAGAAAGAAAGAAAGAAAAATACCCAATAGAGGTAAGGGGGATCTGTGGGACTATAGCATTCATGTCAATGGAGTCCTAGAAGAAAAAGAATAAACAGGAAAGGCTGAAAAGGGTACTCAATGAAATAATAGCTGAAAAAATTTCCACTTTTAAGAAGAGATATAAACTTATAGATTTACATATGATGAAATCCCAAATATGATAAAACCCAGAGAAATACATACCAAGACTTAAAATGGGTAAACTTCTGAAAACTAAGTGCAAAGAAAACAATCTTAAATGTAGCTAGAGAAGAATAATGCCATATATATGGCAGAAACAATCTGAGTGATACCAGATTTCTCTTCAGAAACCATGGAGCTCCAAAGAAAAGACATAGTTTTTAAATCTTGAAAGAAAAGAATTGTCAACTCAGAATTCTCTATGAAAATATCTCAATAATGAAGGTGAAATCAAAACATTCTCAGATGAAGGAATGCTCAGAATTTGTGTTTGTATCTTTAAAAATACAATATAGAACTCTAAAGAATGGCTAGAAGAAATATCTAATCAGAAAGAAACTGAAAAATAAGGATTCAGAAAACAAGAAGAAAGAACATAGTAAGCATAAAAGTAAAAAAGTACTGAACTTAATCAAAATGAAGATACAACAGTCAAAATTTGTGGGATACGGTTAAGTCAATGCTGAGAGGGACATTTATAGCATTAAGTGCTTACATTAGAGAAGAAAAGTCTCAAATCAGCAACCCTATCTCAACAATCCTATTTCAAGTAATTAAAAGCAAAATAAACCCAAAGTCAGCATAAGGAAGGAAATGATAAAGATATAGTCAGAACTTTGTGAATTTGAAAACAGAAAATAATAGGGGACATCAATAAAACAAAAAGGTGATTCTTCAAAAGGATTTACAAAATTGACCAGCCTGTCGCAAGACTGACAAAGAAACCAAGAAGACTCAGATTCTAAAACTAGGAGTGACCTAGGTATTTACCCAAAGGACACAGAAACATTAATTCCAAAGAGCACCTGCACCCCTATGTTTATAGCAGCACTATTTACAATAGCTAAGCTTTGGAAACAACCCAAATGACCCAAAATAGATGACTGGATCAAGAAGATGTGGTATATATACACCATGGAATATTACTCAGCATTCAAAAAAGATAAACACATGCAATTTGCAGCAACATGGATGGAGCTGGAAGGGATCATGCTCAGCGAAATAAGCCAGAAAGAAAAAGAAAAATACCTGATGGTCTCACTCATAGC